CGATCTGCAAAAATAGTGCTCGCAGCATTTTTGCGGCTCGCACTGGACTGGAACACAGGCACTAATGCAGGCGATCGCACTGTGGGCGAGGGGCCTGCCTGCGCAGCCTACGCCCCCTCTCGCCCCTGAATGCAGGTGTTTTTTCATTGGTAGATCTCAATGAGCTCGTCATTTGAAAAGTAGATCTCCAGACAAAAAATAGTGGGCGCCCCTGCCATAGGTGCATTACTACAAATTTCTAGGTACAATGTGCTGATGACCTAGATTCCTGGCAACAGTTACGTATCCAAGAACACTGTTGTTGAACAATGTAAGAAGTTGGCACACTTTTGTCAGTAGTGTAAATGTACATGACTCACAATGGATAATAAAACTTCTCTGGGTGTAAAGCTGTACAGTATCACTGTCATATCATTAATATCTAATGCAGGTGACCTTCAGGTCATTTAGTGGAGCATACGCACAACAAATTAATCGATCATCTTGTATTTCTTTATTTTTACATCCTTAAATAAAAAATAGGCAAAGCAATATTTGATTGCTTAAATTTACACAAACTGATGCAAATATATAGAAGTACATATATATATATATATTTTACACATAGTGAGATAGAGATTTTTCAGCATATGTGTCTGAAAGGGACCATTGTTACATTTCAAAAGAGAAAACCCTGTAAAGCTTTGAGCTCCTGCTGAAGGAATAAGCCCCCTCTTGTCCTGAGGCTGATAAATAGGCAATTCTTTGGAATACAGCGTATCCTATAGATTGATAAGACATATGAAACAGTGCATAGGTAAAGTAAACCCCACATAAAAGGGACTAAGGGTTTTAAGGAAATCTGGTTAGTGCTAATTTTCAGTGTATGATCCTAATGGATATTGAAGATGGAGTTGTGCTTCGGATATCTTTGCGCTGTAACACAGCGGTCTGCTCTCTAGATTTCCCTTCATAAACAGTGGGACTTTGTTGATGCTGTATCAGATGAAGATCCAAAATCAGTAAGGGTTCCCAAGTTTAATCGTAGTCTGCATAGCCCACTCTGTGTGCCAGTATACAAGCACATGGTGGATTTCCCTGCCGCTTGTGGCTGTTGTGGGTATCGTGTCTTCTTAGGCCATAGCGAGAATCATTGTTCATTGCATCCCAGTAAGGCGACGGCTTAAGGTTTCAGCACTTAGGGAACACATATGGGGTGTGTTTAAGAGGTTACGATACAGTAATGAGATCAGTCGATTCACTAAAGAGACTGTCGAAGGGGGGCAAACCACTACAGGTATGAAGTGCAGGGACCAAGAGCTACTGCTAAAACTCAGGCCATTCTAGCAGGTACATTTTTGCCATTGTCTAATACTACTGAAGCGTGTCTGCCCCTTTTTACCTTCTACACATTATTATTGGCCAGTAAGGCCTCTCTTGAAAGTCTCATGTTTTTGCAGGCGCATTTAATGTGAAACTCCAGTGTTAAAAAGCAACAACAAAAAACCCCTCTACATTAACTACATACATTACAAGACATTCAGCTATTATTGTAAATCCTTGCTTGCTTTTTTTCCTGTAGATAATTTGATTCCAGTGCACTGACTGAAAGTGGAAGGGCTTACCTTTCATGATCAGTCTCATGTTGTAACAGGAAACATCACATCTCTCCTTTAGCCAAGCAGCATATATAGTATGCAAGCTTCTCAAGAAAAACCATTGTCCGCAAAGCCTGTACTCTGACCTCCAGCACTGTGCAGACTTCTGGGAAATGCCAGGACAATGGAGGAGAATTTGGGAAATGTTATCTACAAACGTTATTCGTATTTTTGCCGTAATAAAGCAAGGAGTAGACATTCTATTTTAATTTTAGGAAGCTATGGCTGGCTGGAGATTGAAATAATATGTTAATTTGAAAAATTGGAGTTTCTCTTTAATAAGCAAGAGCAAACACTATATACAGTGCAGTAAGCCACGCCAACCAAATGTATATGTTACTACACAAGATTGATATTTGATTAGAAGCTATGCCATGTCATCATTGTACATTGAGCTAATAAAATGACTAATATGGCATGATAGCCACATGGATGAAACGCAGAACCAGGATTTACCTGCAGGGGCACTAAAGATTAAAACTGGCACTTTGGGTCTACATCTGATGAAACAAGACGTTACTGGATGATGGGTTTCTTCTCCATGTTCCTACATGCAAGCAGCTGTGTGCCTTTACCTTACAATGCAATTCTTTCTAATGAAAGGAAGAAATTAATGAATGGCTGAATAATCTGCATTGTGCTTCATTATCAAGATCAGAACTTTGATATGGCAGTTAAGAAACCACCAAAATGTCCATGTAGAAATGGTGATAAAGTAATCCTTACATTTTGCTGAATTTTAGGCTTCGAGAGGTTGTCATTTCTAGAAACCATGCCTTTGGTTGGACAAAAGTGGGTGCATTATGGAGGTCTTAAATCTCCAAACTGTCTGAGGCATGGTAAAATGTACTCCCAGTGATCACTTCTGTCCGGGTGATATACTGGACTGTGCCCCAAGTGATTCCCTACATTCTGTATGTGCATGCTGAAACTCTAAGACAATGCCGTAAACTTTCTGAGGTTAAAATAAATCCCCTTGTCTTGAAGTTGATTTCAGATCCATTTCTTTGGTGTGAAAGCCATTAAGAATCTGACATGGTACAGTGGAACAATACAAAAAAAACAGTTTTAGTGACATAAAAGTTTTGTTCCATAAAATGGTGTAATTTATGATGTTTAAATAAAGGGAAATGTATATTCTTCTATAGGACCCAACATGATCCATTCTTTAGATTTTCTACCTGCATTAGAAGAATGGTAGCTGCATTGTTTTCACTATAGACAGCTAAAGCTTTGCTATGAAGATGATACTGCTTAAGCCCATTAAACATAAAATACCATTTGTCTTATATAAAATATATACTAACATACATATACCCCCCATACCGTACAGGTGTACTGCATGCAAGCAACCTACACAGACAACAACGGTCCATGTAGTCAAAACCTTATCTGAAATATATTCAGCCTTGCTCCAAATACCCTTCAACAGTCTCAAATCACCAAGATGGGTGAGTTATTTGTGAGTTATTTTAACTCCATCATGTCCCCCCTTGAAAAGAAACTCCTAAAAATGTTCAATTCACAAATATAAATATTGTTATTATAATAATAATAATTAATAATCCAATTTTACATGTAATGGGCCTTATTTTCAGACGTGTTTTCCTTCAAAACATTACCATCTCACGTGGGTCCTTTTTTAAGGAGTGATAACCTTGGAAATATTCTTCCTTTTTACAGTCAAAATATCTAATAAATACTTCAAATAATGTTTATAGTTTGAATCAAAGAAAACACATGCTAGTGAAAGTACAGCATGGGTTATGCTTTTGTTGATTTTCTTTAAAGTTAAATACACTTCTTTTAAGGTTTATGGTCCAGTAATTAAGGCTATGAAGATTGATACAGAGTCACAAATATGAAGGGGTCATGATACCCAGTTGAAGCATACAGTAGATGTCCATCATAGTCATATTTTGTGCCATTTAGGTTTATGGTTACTGTACGTCTGAGCGTCAGGCAGGCCTCTGGTGGTCTCTTCAACATCCACAGTTAAATAAAGGCACGGGTATATTCTAGAATTTCTTGTCCATGAGATAGTTTAGTTTCTTAAATCAATATATTTTTCCTTTGAAAGAAAAGCAAAAGAAAAATGACTGGTTATAGAGTAGATGGCAAATGTAGCAAATGCAGAATTACAATACAAGTGTCTAAAAATGTGAACAAATAAATCTGCGCTTCTGGAAAAATAAAATTTAGTAATAAATTAAATTAATTAAATTAATAAAATAAGAATAAATGTGAATAAATGTGAATAATTATACCCCAAGCTGCTCTGAAAAAGGTGGAACCTAGTATGATCAAAAGAAACAAAGCGCACTTCCATACTGACCTCGCCAGAATCAATTATAGCTTATTCCTTTGCTCATACAGCTACCTTTAGCGCTTTGTTTCTTTTGATCATACTAAGTGTCTAAAAATGACTGGTGGAATGGACAGGGGAGGGGGCGGGTACAGCTGGCTCTGCCTCTAGATAGGCAGAGCCAGCTGTCACTCACGCAGCTGGGCGGATCCCGGCAAAATTGTCGGGATCCGCTTCAGCTGCGTACCGCGAGCTGCTGCTCGCAGTATACTGCAGCGTCTCAGTATACCGCGAGCAACAGCTTGCGGTATACTGAGCCTAGGGTGACGTGAAGACGCTAGTTTGTGTCCTCCCGTTACCCTAAGGAGAGCTATGGGGAAAAGACTTAACCCCATAGTTCTCCTTTTAACAAGGAAAGTAAGTGTGGGTATATATCATAGGGGCAGGGATTTGGGCTACCTGAATGTCTGCAGAACATGGTGGATGTACTTCATCCTTTGTAGTAGTTTGCCATCAGTCACCACCGTGGTACAGATATTCATACAGGACTTTTTATATCAATGGGCGGAAGTTTACATGTAAGGTTTGGATACATCTATTTAAGTCTTTGCAAATATCTTTCTCCAAAGCTTAACATCTTCAGCTAGGCTAGATTGTCTCCTCACCCGTTACTACCAGCTACTCCAATCTACTCTCAGACTTGTTATATAAAGTTTATTGACAACCTTTTAAAAGACCTCAATGAAATGGAGACAAGTTCTGGCTTTTCACTACTCATCTGAACCTATGTTGGTCTTTCATTCTCAAGCAAACATGTTGTTGCTTTCCGACTTCATACAATGAAGTCTGTTTCCTCAGATTCTCTTTGTGATAGACAAGTATCCCCTCTAAGCCCAATTATGATTGGTGTAGATGAATTGAGGGGGAGAATATTCTGGACCATTACTGGATCCAGTGAAAGAGATACAGAGCAGAAGAACATTTGTTGAAACCCACAGCTTTTGTTATTTCGTGATTAGTTTCACAAAATAAACCCAGAAAAACCTTCAGCTAAGAAATAGGAACTCTGTGATAACACAGGAACCCTGGAAATCCACTAAGAATCAGATATACACCATTCCACGCAGTCACATACAATAGATCAGGGGTGCCCACAATTTTTCGTTCCGAGATCTACTTTTTAAATGATGAGCTCAAAGAGATCTACCAATGAAAGAACACCTGCATTCATGGGCAGGAGGGAGCATGGCGGTGCATTGAATTCATGGGCACTGCAGCCACGCTCCTCACGCGCAGTGCGATCGCCTGCACCCGGAACGCAGGCATATTAGTGCCTGCGTTCCGGTCCAATGCGATCTGCTCGGCGTGCTGCTGTGATAGCGGCTCCCTCCTGCGGCGCTTCCTTCACCTCTCCTTGGATCCCCGCTGAATACAGATGGGGGAGAGCAGCGGGGATCCAGAGAAGCCCCACGGCAGGAGGAGGACAGGACATCAAAATCTACCAGTGATCGCTTTGCAATCGACTGCTAGATCGCGATTGACCTAATGGGCACCCCTGCAATAGATATTTTGGATGTCAAAGCTTGGCGTATCCGTCTCACTTGTGACCTGTATCGTGTACTTTAGTGTCTGACCCAGATTGTAATCACTCCGCTTATGGCCTGGTGTTCAAATGGACTGTGGTCTCTTGCCTGTGCCTTAATGATTGCGTATATGATTAGTACCTTGTTTAACTTCAACTGGATGCTACCAGCTTTAGCTAGCTCCATTTCTTATTCTCCTGCTTAACTTCTAGCTTATAGCAGCCAAGAACCAATCCCCCATGAGGCCATTATAGCTGAAACCTTGGTTCTCCTTAGCCTCTGTGCCTCAAGTCTAACCCACAGCTACTTCTGCTGCCATGTAAAGGACCTGTGGCCATGTCCTGATCAGTAGTTGCTAATTCTGGGTACCTCTCCGAGTGCCAATCGTGTCAGTTTATAGTCTGGGCTTTCAAGAGTTTTTAATTTGAAAGCAACAATTGATTTTTCAGATTAGAGTTTTTCTATAATAGAAGTTTAATGTATAGCCATTGCAGAAAAGGTGAATGCATGGCTCTATGGTTCTTCAGACAGTTTTTATCTGCTGTATATGTTATGTATTTCTCTTCTACAGAAAAGCTGCTGCTGCTACGTCCTCTTGCCTGTTCCAGTCTTTGTGTATGAATGAGTGATGGAAAATGATGAGTGATGGGAAATAATCCCAGTGATAATTGATCAGAACAAAAGCATCTAGCTGTACCATTAACATGTTGTGATCTACTGCCATTTTTTAAACCTTTGACCGTATACAGTACATAACCTAGCCAAGTCAGCAATAAATAGTCAGCAATACAGGAAAGACTACAATCTGTAAGCTGTAATGTCCAGTGCTCAATATTGTGCAACTAAATCTGAAGGGGGTAAATTACCTGATCTGATGGCTTCTTCTCTTGGGATCCAGCAAGTAAAACAGACTCTTCTGCAGGAGAATCAGGCTTCATTTCCACAATGATTTTATCTTTAGCTCCAGGACTTGTACTACAAATGTATTGAAAAGGAAAAGAGAATTATGCCATGTAATACAAAATAGAAACACAGGAGAGTGACAGCAGAACAAGACCAAATGGCCCACCAAGTCTGCCCCAATTTTGATTTTTTTTTTGTCTTAACATTTTTATCTGCATATATATGTTTGTGTTGACTGACTCACTACCTATCCCGAAGTCTGTTCCAAGCATCAACTATTCTTTCAGTAAGATAATACTTTCTAACATTAGTTCTGAACTTTGCTCCTGCTAGTTTGAGGTCATGTCCCTATGTTCATTATCAGTGCTTCATTTGAAAATATAGCCCTCCTGAACCTTATCTACCCTCTAATGCATATAAATCTTTCATTCATATCCTCCCTTGCTCTTCTTTCCTCTTTTTGTAAATTAACTTGCAGTCTCCACTAATGTTTTATGAGGGTATTTAAACTGTACCTGTACTATGACCATGCTAAGAAAATATCTGATGAAGAACCCAGAGCTGTCTCATGGGGGTGCAGAGAAAGTCCTAAGCCCTGTGTAAGCGCCAAGTCATGACACAAGGCTTCCTCGTTTCCCTCCCAAAGGCTGAATGGTGTAGCAGGCAACTGAAAGGAAGGTGAGTATGTGCAACTGGGGAGGGTATCAGTTCAGTGAGGCTGTTGCTTTGCCCACCATCAGCAAAGCACAGGTTGCCTTCAAATTGGAGTTATGACTTTCATTTAGTGTGACAACTACTACTTACATTTCTTTTTTACCAGAGCGACCACATGGAATATGTCCTTTCTTGTACAAAAAGTACAGCACAGCTCCAAGAACTGCCAAGGCCAGAATACAGATGATGACGATTACAATCAATATGCCATAGCTTTTCTGGCTTACAGGTTCTGCAGGAGGAAGAAATAGAGAAAACCACAAAGGTAACAAACCTTTTCTTTGTTGATAATAAAGAAACATGTTAAGATAAAATTATTATTTTAGTATGTATGATGTTTTACTAGCAGGAAATCAAAGTCGGGATTTTCAGATATAATTTTAAAGCTGAAGTTTAATCTACTTATACACTGCCTGGCCAAAAAAAGGTCACCATCTGGATTTAACTGACAGATAGGTCAGAGCCCTGCATTGGATCTAGGTTCAGCAATGTTATTTCCCCAAAAAATGAGGTCAGCTGCATGAATAGACTGAATGACCAGGTTTTTCCATCAATTAATTTTTTCTTCCCTGATGGTACGGGCATAATCCAAAATGACAATGCCAGGATTCATTGGGCTCAAATTGTGAAGGAGTGGTTCAGGGAGCATGAGACATCATTTTCACACATGGATTGGCCACCTCAGGGTCCAGACCTTAACCCCATTGAGAATCTTTTGGATTTGTTGGAGCAGATTTTACACAGTGGTCCAACTCATCACTACAAGATCTTGGTGAAAAGTTAACGCAACTCTGGACTAGGGATGCACCAATACCAATACCAGTATTATTATCGGTGCCAATACTGGGCATTGTCACTAGTACATCTAGGCAGGAAATCAGACTGGCTCTATCTGCTACTGCAGCTTGTAAGGCACACTGTGAAAAGCTAAGAAATTTGAATACAGGAGAAGAGCCGGTACAATTGTACAAGACTGAAGGTAAGGTTGTGTTTAGCTTTAATGCCTTATATCTGAACCCCCAGCAATCAGCCAAATACACAGATGAAATACCGTGATAATAATGCATTTCTGCCATTTAGTTCTGAGGCACTTACAGTTCTTGTCCCTTCCCCTGGCCTGTGGATGGACAGTGATAGCAGAAGCAAACTAATGAGCCCAACTCTCTGTCACTCTGCTCTCTCCTCCTATCTGCACTATGGGATATAATATTAAATTATATAATATTTTATAGTTAGATTTAGCGCTAAACATGTGCGGCTAAATCCTTCAAATACTGGGCTGTCAACTCCCATGTCGTAGTCACACTTGGCACCCCAACTGCTGCATGTGCACTGTTATACTATGATCTATTGTATACCCAACATGTGTACATATTTTTCATCCCTTATCCTACTATCCATAAATAGACTGTGAACTTCAATGCCGGGTTTACCTATGCAAAGAAAGAGGGAAAAGTTTCTAGTTCTTCAGCCAATAAAAATTCTTAATACTGGCTCCCCCAAGTTATGTGTTCACACTGGGCCTGATGACTGACTGGAGGACTTTCTGTATTTCTGTCCTTGGAATCCTGTTCCTAGGGTATGCTAGAATTTAAGAAGGGATATACTGTCTGACAACTGTGAGTCTGTACCATACATGCTGAAGCTTTAATATGGCTAAACCATCTGTCAATCCTACACTATCAGAAAATAGGTGAAAACCCAGCAGTAAAAGGGGTAAGGGTTATATTCAGGGTTGGGGTTAGGAGGTTAGGCTTAAGGGTTAAGATTACGTGTGGGGGTTCATTTCGGACATAAAATGTATCTAAACCCAAGAACAAAAATGGAATATATTAGAGCTTACCAGTCCCTTAAGCTGGCCATACACTGTAATAATTTCTTCGTTCAACCCGAGGACTGAACAAACAAAATATTACAGATTCCTCCATCAACGCTTACAACCGTTGATGGAGGAATCCCAGGCTGTCTTCTCTGTATTCGAACAGGGGACCTTATTTTTCTCTGCTGCAGCTTGGTTCCTTGCCCAGCCCGTGATTGGACAATGAAAGGAGAAGCAGCAGACCGGGCTTATCTTCCTGTCACTCTGCTGTCAGCACATTCTTTTGTTGGCACGGTAGTACTACACCACAACTGTTTGGCTTCCTGTGCTGTCCATCCCTCTGCCATTCTGTGCTACATAGGGACTACAAGAAGCTGATACCAAGTAAAATCCAAGTACTTACACATTATACGCGTTATGTCTTAATTAGTTGTCTGGAATTCAGCTTTATTATTACATTGTAAAGCGCTGTGCAAACTGTTGGCGCTATATAAATACTATGTTATAATAATAATTATTATTGCAGGATTCTAAAGTCTAGAGACACTGTGTGAATTTTTAGGATGCATAAAATATCACTTTCCCATAACGTCTTCCAGGACAGCATCACGAGATGGAATCTCCTCCCCCACACACAGGAAACACGTCACTTAATCTGCTTAAAAGACCCTCCTCTCCTCCACTCCCTCAGTCTTTTGTGTTTCCTCAGTCAAGCTGGGGAGCGCGTCACAGAACGCTGAGAGAGGGCTTCCATGTGGTGATGCTGCCCGGGAAGTCTTCCTTGTTGGCCTGCCTGTGTAAGGCAGAGGGGTAGGTTTGCCTACCTTGTGGAGCCCCAGGGATTCTCCTAGCGCACTATATTTGCTTACCTGTCTCAGGAGCTCTTGTCCCTGGCTCTGTAAGATAAAGTTTCAAGTCCATTAGATTTCTATAGAATATTCCGAATTTTGATCTTACAATCTATTTCTAATTCACCTGACAGGAGAGTTTTTGTTCAAACTCTACGGTGTTCATTTCCCAGTTTGAACATTAGCGATATTTTTGAACAGCCACATATTGTGTTCTCAGACATCTTCTTTGAACTTTTACGGATATAATGCAATACGAAAAAATAGCCATATTCACTGGTGCGTGTAATGCAAACATTTCATCAAAACTGTAAAGCCGCATTAAATATACAGCTAGTCCAGTTGCAGATTACTTTTATCGATGATGTTTCAGCAAACTCCAAGACTGAAAAATCCTGCTTGGTTCTCACTGTTCTGGAGGGGGGTTAAGATATTTAACCTTGTCTGTACTGATTTTATCACTTGTAAACTAGATGACCGGTCTCTCCTAACAAAGGGTTAAAGACGCTGGAGGGGAATATATCAGAACTGTAGCGGACAGAATCCGGAGTAGTTGCCTAGTGCAACCAATTGGCGTCCCTCTTCAGTTTGTTCAGTTAAGATTTGAAAATGAGTACCATGGGACGTATCTCATTACCTGAGTACCTAGGGCATACCTCGTACATCCTAGCCACCTCATTCATAAACACTGGTCACAATCATTACACACAATAACTTTAATAACCCCATGAAAACTTTCCCTTATATAATAGTACAATACCTGCTGTACTCAAGGCTTGGACGGTTCCAGGTGAAGAGTCTAAAAAAATAGATGTAGTGGTTTATCAATTACTCATCAGAAACATTTTTTCTTTGTCCTATATTATGAGACATGGTTTTTGGTTTCAGGGTTAGTTTACATTCTCATTCTACAAAATTTGGGGTATTTTTATCAAGCAGTGAATGTGGAAATCCCCTAAAATTCACTGCAGGTGTATCTTTCTAATGCATGTTTTATATGACAGTGATTGATCCACCTGCAGTGAATGTTTAGTGACTGTCACATTCACTGAGTTATAAATATGTCCCTAAGTTTTTTAGGCTTCTTTTCATTTTAATTTTTTGTATTTGTAGCCCCCTTGCTTTATTAACCAATTGAGGATTTGCTGGCAATAAAGGCCAGGAAGCCATGAGTGGGAAGAGAAGGGCATACAGCATACATACGGGCATTTTGTTGAAGTCTTTAAGGCATATATCATATGCCCTAAAAACTACAACGAAATGCCTGTATGTACGTTGTGTGCCCTTCTCTTCCCACACCACTTCTCGGCCTTTATTGCCAGCAAATCTCAGCTATCTATAATGACAGCCAAGCTTGCTTTGTATTACAGCAGTGGCTGCAGCTGTATTAGATGCAGCTTCTGAGCAGTGTATGAAAACTTCATTGAGAAATACAATGTAAACACATTACTGTTACATCATATTTACTCTGTTTCATTCATGTGCAAATCAAAGGGATTTCCTTTGAACTGCATAAAGATCGGTTAAAGCAACCATACAAGTAAAAAAAAAAAAAAATGTGTTCTTATTTAACTTCTGATTTTAGTCTTTATTATTGTTGGAAATACATCAGTTTATACTACTGAACTGTTATGTCTTTTGAGCACTAGATGGTGCTGTAGTGCAATGCTAGTCTCTATGCTTATGCATGCTGATCTATGGTTTATATACAGGAAGTTCTCTACATGTATACTGTATAATACTGTATTCTGATGTAATGTCCTCAGAAGCAATTCAAACTTAATGCAGCATTCCTCAAAATCTCAGTGCTTCATCTAAACACATAACCAACAATTATAAAATTAACACATTATACATAAAATTTACACTTTTTAATTTATAGAATCACTAGTTGTTGTTAACCTAGCACTGATCAAACTAGAAAAATAAATGTTTGTTTTGTTATGCCTTTTTGGCTATAGACTGCATAGGAAATAAAATAATGTTTTCAAGACAATGCTAAAAAACAAATCTTTGTCCCAAAACAAAACATTCAATTATTACTTAATTATTGTTTGGAAGACAACATGAAATGAAAATCAATAGGAACCAAAGATGACACTTAACATTTGCTCTAAAATAGAAACCAAATTAGAGAGTGAAGGGCAGATTTCACCAGAAAATCCGTACTATATAGAATAAAATACAGTGGTAAGAAGATGTATGTGGACCTCTCGGGATTAACTCTGAAGTAAATTGCCATAAAATGTGATGTGATCCCCATCTAAGTCACAACAATAGACAAACACAATGTGCTTAAGCTGATTACACACAATTATTTCTTAGATGAGGATCAGATCACATTTTATGGCAAATTACTGCAGAAAACCAGTTAATTCCAAGGGGGCCAACATATTTTTCTTGTCACTGTAATTGTTACAGGAGGAAATGTAATTTTACATTCGTAGATTCAAATACATGTTATACTATACTTAAATAACAAATCCTATATGGGACTGGGAAAATAAAAGCTCCCTGAAACCTCTAAATATATTTTCTAACATTTTTTTTTAAATTATTTTGTAAAATGTGTGGACATTATGTATTTTACATTTTAAGGTACTGTGCAGTCCAATAGGCATCGACTCAGTAATGCTTTCAGTCATGCTTCCAGTAACAGGCCTGGTCTGACATGCCCCCTCCCTTATCTGCAATGCAAGTCAGTGTGAGGAAACCTGTGCTAAGGGGCAGCACAGAATACTGATGAGAAGAACAAGCAGCAAGCATTTTAATCATTTCCAAGCAAATATCAGTCACTAATCATGACATGCAGGGATACAGTGCAATATGGAGATAAAAAAAAATCAATTGGGGTTTAATAGCATTTCGGAGTACACGTAAAGCAACTATTAAAGCTCTTTTCTATATCACTGGGAGCAGCAACTTACCAGGCCCCATAAGTCAGATGGACATTTTCTCACCCCCATTCCTGCACCCTATGCTAGGTGTCAATGCTATACACAATATAACTGCTACCAGATGAAGTTCAAATTGACATTCATAGATTCAGGTATAGACTATATTGAAGATGGTGTTAGTTCCACTATAGCGAAGTTGTAAAATTTGTAGGTCTTGTACAAGATATTGAATTTAATTTTGTCAGAAAATATGATTCCGCTTTGTGTACTTCAGACCACTGGTTAGCTGGTCATCTGTTATCAGATAATTCTGAATATCGGTCACCACATTGCTATATATACATATAATAATAATATATTATTTTTTTAGATTATTATTATGTTTTTCTACTTTGCACTATATATATTCCCCTTCTGCCCATACATACATATTCTGGTGCCTGGAGAAGGTTTAATCATGGATTCTGTTCAAAGAATATAATTGAATTAAGTTAGGCATCTTTCACCTTCTATGTGCACACCGTTAAATATATAAAATATATACACTATATTATAAATAATTTTTCTGCACAATCCCACAATGGGGACATGGATAGCAATGAAAATAACTTTTCTAGCCGTTTGAGGAAAGATTTCTGTACTCACTGTAAAATCCTTTTCTCGGAGTGCATTGAGGGATGCAGGTAGTCATTCACCTTTGGTTATACTGCCGCCTACAGGAGGACTAGACACTAGCAAAAAATGAAGGTGAATGACTTCATGTGTCCCTCAAAGGACGAATTCTATTTCATCTTTATATTTCTGGAGAAGTCCAGTGGTACAATTTATGCAGCTTTGTTCTCTGACACGGTCAGCACAAAGGGGGTGCAATTTTACCTGCTGGGGTTTTTGCATTTATTTACATCAGAGAGAACATAGAAGTATAAAAAAAGACTTCATAATGGGAGCTAACAGAACCCGAAGCTTGGTTATGGGGATCTCAATAATGACATTGCAGAGATATGAAATCGGTGATAAACGCCAACATCATCTTTCTATAACTGTTCAGTTTTGGACGGGTTGGTCTATTAAACGCTCTTAGCTGACAAACAAGCCACAGAATTTGGAAACGAGCACTTTTTTCAGATGGCAAAAATCAATACACCATGCAAACACGCACATGCAAGTCAAACATACAGTGACTCACTTTCCAATAGCTGGATCAATGCTTTGCTGCTGTTGAACCTATTGATGGCCATGCATGTGAGACTTTGGTTGATGAAACCTTTGTTCACCAGGAAGGTGAGGTCACTTGTTACTTCATAATCTTTGCTGTTGTTAATAACAGTAGAAGAATTGACCTGCCAAAACACACAGCATGAAGGCAATAATCACTGAGATACACAACAAAGAGCATAATTAGAACATCTGCTCACAAAGACAATACAGTAGGGATGTCCCGATACAGGACGTTTTCACAAGTACTTGTACTCAAGAAAATGCCCCGATTCCAAAGGCAGATACCGACCCTTTAAATTTATTAAACAAAAAAGCGCCATCTGCTTCTCCCGCGTGTGGCCACGAGCACCAAGCCCAAACCTGCTGACGAAAAGCCGGATCGGTGTGGGAGGGTTAGAGGCTCCGGCGCATCTGCTGTGTGATGCTTCGGTTGTTTACAATGCCTTGTTTCGCATGCAACTGGGCTTGCTGAACTGTATTTCCCACAATTGAAGGCAGTTATGGACGATGCTCGTGCTCAGTGTGCTGCTCCTGTGATTCGTCCAGGGTACTGAGGAGGCGGACACTTATGTCAGCATCAGCCAATAGAGTATAGGCAACTACACGGCCGGGTTACTATCCATTTCCCGCCGCTTGAGCGTCGGCGGATCTGCCCACAGCACAGTTGTGGAAGTATCCTGGTTACCAGGACAACACTTTCTGAGGCTGCTGTATATCACTGTATTCTGTAACTGCCCCAACTTGCCTTTTATGCCACATTCATGCTGGTAAGTGAATCTACAAGCTTATATCGGTACATATGTTCTATATGCATTTTGTCCACGTTATATCTATTACTGTATTACTGTTTTCAACTTGTTCTGGCAGGAATATGGTACGTCGGGGTGGGGGGCTGGGGGGTTCACACACATTTGATGATCAGACAAATCATCAGTCTGTGCTGTTTTAGAAAAAAATGTCACATGTCCCTTTAAGAAAAAGTATCGGTAATTGGCATCGGCAAGTACCTGAGGGAAAGTACTTGTACTTAAAAAAGAGGTAACGGGACATCCCTGCAATACAGCATACCAAATCATGTTATTCAAGTAAATGTCATAATGTGAATAATGGAACATTGTTAGACTAAAATAGAATTACACATACAAACCAATAGATAGTGTTTATCCCTTTCATCACCAGGGGTCATTGATATCTGGATACCCAGGTCAAATTTAGCACCGGCAGTTTTCATCAGTTGGCTTATTATAACTTGGCTTTACCTCTGACTAATTTGCCTACTGAAATTTTTTATGGTCCTCCAAGGCTTTTCTTTGGTACACTGATTTAACAAATACCATGCTCAAGTTATTTTGTATAAGCTTATACAATTCTATAATGTTTTTACTTTGGTTATTTTTCTGTGATCAATAAAGGTGACTGTCATAATGATCACATGATCAAGAACTATACTGAATCTGACAGTGCAGTGTGCTCAGGAACATTGATAAACAGACTGCGGGCAGGAAGCGGATAAAGTGAGCCTGACCTAACCGATAATCAATTAGCTATCGATGACTAGAGCTATCACTTGCCTACTAAAGGTTCTGTATTTTATTGACTTGGGAAGACATCGGTGCCTTGTACAACCTGGACCTAGGAGCCAAGTGGGCCCATCAGGGGCACAGGTAATGATTTGAAGACTTGCACAGATACTTGCAGCCACCACAAGGTGCCAGGTCCAGTTTGCCTTTATTTTTTATTTACATTGGCTTCTCTCTCTCGGGGACTAATGAAGTCTCCGGCTTCTGCCTGTGAATCTTTAATAATTATTGAGTCAAGTATTGAGTATATATGCTAAGTGTATTTTCTGAGTGCTAGCTGTTACTGACTAATCTGTTGTAAGGAAAGTGAGTTTGCTAACTATTACAAAGAGCAGACAAAGCCAAATTACACATTGAGGCCAGAGCATGTGAAATGTTAGTTATCTGTAAAGACTTTAGAAGTTTACATTCTCATTTTTACATAAATGACAAATCTAAATTGCTATGCAATACGTGCACCAGGTCTTAAATGATAACATTGATGCATGTGAAGCATGTAAATGAAGGAGGCTAATATGGAAAAGTAGTATTTCCAGAGATTTGACTATTTGTGTACTACTATCTGGTTCTATGTTGTCTACTGCCTGTTTCTAAAGTGGTCAATACAGTCCTTTGTCATGAACATTTTTAGTCCTCTGGTTAAATCATTTCTGTTCTGTTTAGGTCCTACTAGACAAAACAGCCACCATTTGAATGTTCTAATCCTTCCATAAGGCACCACACCAGGCTAAGTATCACCATGAAGATTCTGTTGTAAGTAGGTCATATAATACTCTGTAGCTGCATTCCAAGCCATGCTGGTGCCTCACATATCTCATACTTTGGTAACCAGCACTAAAAAGTGCAAAACTAAAGTTGATGCAAAACTGCCACAGAAGTTATTTCTTCTTAGATTTTGTAAATGCACAAGTTGGACCAAAATAAAAATGAAATAGAAAATTACGCCACTGATGTTCAAATACTTGTACATACACTATTTTGCCAAAAGTATTGGGACACCCCTCCAAATAATTGGATTCAGGTGTTCCGTGAAATGTCCTTGCTACTAAATATTCAACTGTTAGTGGTATTATAACAAACTGGAAGCAACTGGGAACAACAGCAACTCGGCCACGAAATGGTAGGCCAAGTAAAATGACAGGGCAGGGCATGCTGAAGCGCGCAGTGCGCAGAAGTCGCCAACTGTCTGCAGAGTCAATAGCTACAGACCTCCAAACTTCCTGCGGTCTTCAGATTGGCACAACAACAGTGCATAGAGAGCTTCATGGAAAGGTTTTCCATGGCCGAGCAGCTGCATCCAACCCTTACTTCACCACGTGCAATGCAAAGCGTCGCATGCAGTTGTGTAAAGCACATCGCCACTGGACTCTAGAGAAGGGGAGACGTGTTCTCTGGAGTGACGAATCACGCTTCTCTGTCTGCCAATCTGATGGACGTGTCTGGGTTTGGCGGTTGCTAGGAGAACGGTACTTGCCTGACTGCATTGTGCCAAGTGTAAAGTTTGATGGAGGGGGGATTATGCCGTGGGGCTGTTTTTCAGGGGTTGGGCTTGGCCCCTTAGTTACAATGAAGGGAACTCTTAAGACATCAGCATACTAAGACATTTTGGACAATTTCATGCTCCCAACTTTGTGGTAACAGTTTGGGGATGGCCCCTTCCTGTTCCAACATGACTGCGCACTAGTGCACAAGCAAGGTTCATAAAGACATGGATGGGGAGTAGGAACTTGACTGGCCTGCACAGAGTCCTGACCTCAACCTGATAGAACACCTTTGGGATGAATTAGAGCGGAGACTGCTAGCCAGGCCTTCTCGTCCAACATCAGTACCTGGCCTTACAAATGCGCTTCTGGAAAAATGGTCAAACATTCCCATAGACCAGGAGTCAGCAACCTTAAACACTCAAAGAGCCATTTGGACCCGTTTCCCACAGAAAAGAAAACATCGGGAGCCACAAAACCCTTTTACATCTAAAATGAAGATAACACGGCATACATCATTTTTTACCTTTATGCTATGTATAGCATGTATATAGGTAAATGTGGGCTTAGTAATGCACTGGACTCTGGGCTTAGTACCGCACTGGACTCTGGGCTTAGTACCGCACTGGACTCTGGGCTTAGTAACGCACTGGACTCTGGGCTTACCTGAGACCCCGCAGAGCCCACCTGAGAGTGACCCTGCAGAGCACACCATAGATCCTGCACAGCTCATCTGAGACTCTCTATGGTGGGCTCTGGAGGGCCTCAGGTGGGCTGGTCGCCGGGGTGCTTTCCCTGTACCTCCTCGCAACTCCTTTTACCTGCTGCTGCTGGGGCCTGGCCTCCTCCACCCTCTTCCCTGTCACCCTTGCCATGCCCCCGCTGGTACAGCTGATACTCATGTAAGAGGCCCCCCAGGCTGCCCAAACTCCTCACATGTGTACCGGCCGTACCCCCCTGATGGCGGTGTTCTATCAAAGTTTGTGACTACGTTACAATGTGTGACCGGTGACGTGGTCATACATTTCAATGTAATCACGCCCAGTTTTTTGGCGGTGGAATGTGTGACCGTCAATAGCTCAAGCATTTCAACGCTTTGTCAGCTGTAAAAGGGCAGATTGGCATCACAAATCGTATGTGCAGGAGAACTGATCAGTCCTAGAACAGCTGTTCGGTCCTTAAATGTCACTTCTATCCGACTCTGTGAGTACGATCTCACATTCCACCCCACTCACAAAGTTGGATAGAAGTGACATTTCAGGACCGAACAGCTGTTCCAGGGCAGAGCAGTTCTGCACATGCTATTTGCGATGCCGATCTCCCCTGGACAGGGAGCCGCAGCAGGGGGATGAAAGAGCCACATGCGGCTCCAGAGCCGCAGGTTGCTGACCCCTGCCATAGGCACACTCCTAAACCTTGTGGACGCCTTCCTAGAAGAGTTGAAGCTGTTATAGCTGCAAAGCTGGGCCAACTCAATACTGAACCCTACGGAATAAGACTGGGATGCCATTAAAGTTCATGTGTGTGTATAGGCAGACGTCCCAATACTTTTGGCAATATAGTGTACATTAGTAATTTTGACCAGCTATTCTTGTAACAGCAATACCTGTGCTAGGGAAGACCACTCTGCTACTACCTGGTTTACCATTACTGCTTATTGGGCAGAGGTGTTGATGCTGATGTGCTGCCAATGAGCAGGCTGGTGGTAAGCTTGCTGCTTAATGGACAGTGGTGATGATTCTCATGTATTGTGTAATGAGCTGGCTGAAGGCAGAAAGGTGACACTGCAAACTACATTGCTGAACCAGGAAATATGTGCATCACATGTCTGGCGGTGCAGTGTGGCTGGTCATAACTGGCTGATCATAATCACATTTTTTTTGGCAGGTGAAAGCTCAATTACCTCTGTGCCATTGATGTCCCAAGTGATCTTAGGTAGTGGATGACCAGCTGCCATACAACGTGTAGTCACAGTTTTACCATCTTGCACTTCTATAACATGTGAAATCACAAATACCTGAGGACTCCCTGCAATGAATACAAAAACAGGAGGCATGATCTACAAAATCTAAAGTTGTCCTTGTACCAGCTATTTTGAGTGCTTGGTCTAATTGTAAAGGCATTCAATAATATTCATGAAAAATTCCAAGCCATGTTCTCAGTAGCACATGCAAAATGTTTATCATATGACCACAACTAATCTCTTAGATACTCAATATCAGATGATTGCTGGTAAGAAACTGATAGCTGACAGAAACATTAGTCATGTATGCGGTTTACTAGGAAAAAATATCACCATACTAAAAGATTATCAAAATAGTCTCATGTTTGGGTCAACTGACTCTATCGGAGTTATAAAATAACATAGAGACAGGAGCAAAACACCAAGTGGAAAGTGTATTGCCCAAAATAACCATGCAGAAGCCATCTGGTCTTCAATAGTAAATTCTGGTGTAGTAGTATACGAAGAGACCGCACTATCCAAAGACTTCCAATACTTCAGACTTTATTGAAATTCACAGCAAATCCAGTATAACAGTGAATAAAAGTGTATACAGCAATACCAGCACTGCACGCCCCTAACCAGCTACAACCTCTCACATGTTTCACCCATAAGCTTATTCATAGAGGTCTATGAATAAGCATGCCGGTGAAACATGTGAGAGGTTGTAGTTGGTTGGGGGTGTGCAGTGCTGGTATTGCTGTATACACTTTTATTCACTGTTATACTGGATTTGCTGTGAATTTCAATAAAGTCTGAAGTATTGGAATTCTCTGGATAGTGCGGTCTCTTCGTATACTACTACATTCCAAGGTGGAGAGGCACCTATTAACCAGCACCTGGGGCGGCTAAGGAATTGGAGCCGTGAGATTTCCTTTGGCTCTACAGTAAATTTTGGTGGTTGCTATGAATTACTGTGATTTGGAAGTAAGGCTTTGCTTCTGTCTCCTGTTAGCCCACCCCCAGCAAAATACTGATTTGGGCTCCCTCTCCACTTCCCCGCTGTAGGAGTCTACTCTGACTGAGCTTTAGTGTCGGGTGTGTTAAAGCTTATCCATGTGGATGATGACACTGCACCACTATGTGTAACTGCCCTGAGCACTGTCATATGGGGGAGATCACATGCTCCCCAATTGCTCAATGCTGCTTTGGAAGACTATAAATCGCGTAGGGAGTGGACTATTAGGAGGCACTGTCACCTTGCCGTAAATGGACAGATGTCCAAAAGCAAATGAGGCACTGGACTGGAATATTTCTTGAATTTTTCAAAGAAGGGGGGTGCTATCACTGCTTCAGCCCAATGGCTTAAGTTAAGAAGCTCTTGTGCACGAATCAGGAAACCCCTATAAGAAGGGCGAACACCCAAATCGGGAAATCCAAATGTAACCGGTAGAATGAGAGCGCCAGGCCAAGAAAGGTCCACAATCTTTTAATCATTCAACTGATGACAGCAAAAACAATAGAAGATAGCCAACATGTTTTCGGGGGCCACAATTCCCCCCTTCAACAGGGCTAAATGGAAATAGCAACGTTTTGGATGGACTCAAATAATGGCTTCTAGACTGACTGTTACAAATGCATTGAGAAGACCAACTGGTCAATAAAGATGTCAACGAGGACAGACAAAATGCAAAGGAAAAACTTTGCATAGCATTATTTGAGTCCATCCAAAACTTTGCTACTATTCAGTCATGATAAAGGGGGGGGGGGAATTGTGGCCCCTGAAACGCATTGGGTATCTTCTGTTGTTTTTTCTATCAGTTGAGTGATTAAAAGATTTTAGACTTTAAGCTTTTCTTGGTCTGGCACTCTCATTCTACCCGTTACATTTGAATGGACAGGTGTCAGTGCCTCTTTAATTAGTCTGTATAGTCTCAATTCATAGAAGCATAACGCATGCACTATTTTTATTATAATGAATAATTATCTCATTTTGAGAATTTTTTTACATTTACTATAGGGTTTAATACAAGGATCTGTATGTCATACATTTTTGTGGAATTCTTTTTGTAAAAGCCAGTTCACACAAATTATCACATTGGGTTTTTGCTCCTACAAACACTGCTAGCGTTAACAGGGAGTTTCTATGATGTGTGTACTGTAAACAACAGAAAAAGGAACCATTCCTCATAGAGATAAAAGGAAGAGGTATGCAATAAAATGCAGATTTAAGCGATATATAGGCTTTCTATAGTTAAATGACTTATTTCATGTGAACAAAATAATGATTCCACATCAATGTGATTATTATTGTAACATAAAAAATGATCAAGAGATAAAATAATGAAAGACTGTAAAAAAAAAAAAAAATACGGTGAAGTGTTATAATTATCTATCAGGATTAACTACTTAAATTACCTTGCACAGTGATATTTATGTAATTGCTCTTTTGCAGTTCCGGTACACTAGGAAGCTCAGCCACACAAGTATAAACTCCCGTAGCATTATAACCTACAGATTCCAGGTTTAACTCAGACCCATTTGCAATGTTTTTTCCATCCTAGAAGACATCAAAAATACATTTTCAGTTCAAAGATCTGTTGCCTTGACATGTACATTAGCCTGGTCAATAGTATAACAGTACGGCTGGTTAATGGAACACTGTATGGCTTTTAAGCTAGATGTTTACTAACTTGTTTCCAGTGGATCACAGCTGAAGTTGATGCATTCACATGACAGGAAACCATCAATTTACTTTGAAGATCAACAGTAAAAGGGGACCCATGAGACAGCACAGGAGTATCCAGGACTAGAAAAAGGGACAGAGATTTCACAGTATTATAAATGTTTGAAGAGGTGAAGATAATTGTAGTGTTTAAAGTACATGACATAAAACAGTTATGCATGTTAGTTGTCAAATAGTATTTAGGTAAACAACAATGGGATTTTGTACTCCCCGTAAAACCACTTTCTTGGAGTCCATTGAAGGACACAGGATGTCCCCCAATCATCCTGTAGGTGGAGGTATAACCCAAAGGAGAATTACTTCCTGTGTCCCTCAAACACATTTAGGCAAAAGTCTCAATTCATGTTCTTACATTCATTTTTAAAGGATTCTCAGCTCTACTCTCTGAAACACTTTGGCCTGTGAATAAACTGTATACACCTTTTGACCTTCTTCCAGTTCACAAAACATGTGACTTTATAGCTGCAAATATGATTTGTATCATATTTGGAACACATCAAAAACACGGCAAAAACGCAGCACCACTGCACTGTGTGTGCAGAAACTAATGCGGATCTGGTCCGCATTTGGTGTGAACAAGCCCTTAGGGCAGGGGTCAGCAACCTTGAACACTCAAAGAGCCATTTGGACCCGTTTCCCACAGAAAAGAAAACACTGGGGAGCCACAAAACCCTTTTGACATCTAAAATGAAGATAAGACGTCATATATCGGTTATTACCTTTATGCTATGTATAGTATGTATATAGGTATATGTGGGCTTAGTAACACACTGGACTCTGGGCTTAACTGAGACCCTGCAGAGCACACCATAGATCCTGCACAGCCCATCTGAGACTCTCTATGGTGGGCTACAATGGACATACTCCTGTCACACCCCCAGTTATGCGGACTATTTCGAATGTAAATGCCAAAAATGATTGTTTCAACACAAAATTGTTTTTTTCCACAATTTGTTTTTTATACTGTTTTTTTGAAATAGTAAACAAGATATTAAAGAAATTGGATGAAGGTTTTAGAGCAGAATAACAGTTTTAGTAGTTACATAGAACCTTTTCATAGATATCTCTACATCAGACAAAAAAGAGGAACAACAGAGGAGGAAAGGGGGATTTGGCTCCAAATCAAAGCTAGTCCCTCTAAATGAGGGAAAGTTGGGAGGTGTGTGGTAAACAACGAATGAATATAATTGTATAAGAAGAAGGATTACAGGTAATTACACATAGTTTGGACACTTTAAATAATGCATGAGTCCTTCAATTTACTTCCTAAATTAAAAAAATAAAACTGAAAACTGATTTTCGTTATGACTTTGCATTCATTATCACTAGATGGTGCTGCAAAACTAAGTTATAAATGATGTATTTTGTCTCGTTCTTTTATATTCATATTTGTGCAGTTTTTTTACAGGTACACACATTGACCTGGACATCTTTAGAGGCTGTTTTTCAGCCAGCATTTTATTTGGTTGGGATAGATGTAAAGCAATCTATGTACGTTTTGAGTATCAAAATAGGATGTCCAGTGTATGTTTCTTTCAAATTCTGCCAGATGATGGGGGTTAAAGGAAAGAATGTACTGACTGAAGTAGATACATTTCTGTGTTAATTTCGTCGATGAGAAATTTTCTTCATAGTTTTCGTCAGCTGCATTTTTCCAGTGACCAAAACTAAATGAAAACTAAATAAACACGAATGCAATTTTAGTTTTAGACTTATTTTAGTCATCTGAATTGTTTTAGTTTAGTTTTGTCAACTGAATCGCCAGTAGAGAAAATTGCAGTGTATTTCCACCATAGGTTTAGTCCTATTAACTTAGCTTTTATTTAGTTTTCAACATGCAGCTGACGAAAACTAGGAAGTACATTTTTCATCGATGAAATGAACACTGCTCCATATACTAATAATGGAGTTAGTGTGGGCAATGTAACTGTCAAGTATGCTTTGCACCTGGCAATACTTTGTATGTGCCCTTAAACAGCTGTTCACTGTTATCTTTTCAATATTAAATACTACCCATATGACATCATTGATTACCATGCTCTCCAACTCCAAGGTTCCTACATGGAGCAGCAATCCTTTAGGGCTAGTTCATACCAAGCGCGTTCCAGGAGCAGAGCAGTTACTGAACGGATCAAAACTGCGTCCAGTGTATTCCAATAGTATTTTGGACTCTAGTTCACACTGCAGCGTTCAGTTCCAAAGCATGTAAAAAAAACTGCAGTGAGCCCTATTTTTCTGCCTCTGGAACGCATGCAAACGCATCATTTTTTTACAAAAACGCAGCAAACCCCACTGCACTGCGTGTGCAGAAACTCATGCAGATCTGGTCTGCATTTGGTGTGAACAAGCCCATAGACCTTAGTTTCATAACTAACGTCTAAAGGTTTGCTGCTCCATCCACTAAGTATTCATTTACTGGGGTGTGAAAATATTATGACCTTGTATCATCCTATAATTATTCTTGTTTACCCTAAACAAGTGGCGATCTAATTGACTTGGAAAGGTAACAGAGAGTACAGACTGAAAGGAAGCCTGTATCTAGGGTATATAGAACAACTTTATAAGTTGTTAGCAGGTGCTAGTTGATTTCACTAATGTTAGTAACTTTAAAATACTTTCACAACACCACAAGAGCCCATGGTTTCTTATGAAACCTCTCCAGGGTTGCAGGAAACCCCAGGACAGGCACTCAAATATTAACCTGTCCTCCAATGACTTGCACGCTACTGAGACCAAGCTCCATCTTTATTCCAAGTCAAACAAGTTATAGGTGGTCAAACAATGTAGGTTTTGATCACTTTTACTATAAACAAAATGACTGTCAAAAAAATACTGCCCTAAAGTTAGCAGTGATTCTTACTTCTACTTTATATGACTTGGATGTTTCAATGCTTGAGGCCCTATTTACACTTGTGCATTGTGGCAGCGGACAATGTACCTGCTCTATTGTGAATGGCACTCAAACACTCTGTACAATACAGGACTATGAGCAGCAGCCATGCCTTGTGGTGTATTGCATCGCAAAAAAGGCTCGTGCAATTTGTGTCTGTTGCAATCTGTTGTTTGTTAATTTATGTTGTGTTAAGCCAGTTCATCCATTTTGAATTGCACTCAATTCAACGTGTGTTAGCACACAACAACAGATTGCTACACTATAAATCACCCCTGAACTTACAATGCTTGTGTTTACTAAGCCATTGAACCATTACCCACCCAGCTAAAGCCCACTGTTGTCTCCTCTATGAATTTTTTTTCCATAGAAAACATTATGATCTGTATCTACTTGCAAATACATATTGCATCAAGTTGGAAATGCTTGTGTGAAAATGTCTGTCCTCATTATATTTTAGCAGCTTAATAAAGTGCGCAAAATTACAACACAATTTCTTTGAGTTTGTTTTCCATAATAGGTTAGGTGTTCAGTTAGGCAATGGCTAAGCACTAGGGGAGGAGTATATGGAGGATACTTATTTCGGTATAAAGCTGGCCATACACTGTTATACTTTTTTTTGTTCAAGCTGTGGGCTGAGTGAAAAAAATATAGCAGATTCTTCCATTCACGCTAAACAGTGTGGATGGACAAATCTCCTGCTGGGCTATTGTATTTTAACAACGGTGGACGTGCTGTGTCCGAATACTGTTCACCTGAAAGTTTTCCATCCGCCTCCTTCGATATTCTGACCGAAGGATGCCAGACGAAAGGCTGCCAACAGGGCCACCCACTGAACAAATTTTGCACAGTGTATGGCCAGGTTAACTGCTAGGGGTGCTGCAGGCTTTTAACTGTACTGGGAGCACTGTCCCTATCAAAACCAAAGTCTATATAATAAAAATGTCTGCTTACTATTCTTAGTTAATTCATAATTATCCACTTGGTATAGGTCACATGTTTATAAGGACTTGGTTACAGAACCACTTTTCCATTTTGCTGTTGAACAATTAGATTATAGAAGTAAACAAGTTCATGTTCTCAATTGCAGATGTTTACCAGTCTTGGGATGCAATCCAGTACAGCCCAGGCCTCATTGTTCACATGTTTATTGTGGCTATTTTGGCACTTCCTATCTTTCAATGATGTTTTAGCATCCAAAGAAAATGTTTGTTATGAGCAGATTCACTGTTTATTCTGTAACCGTAGGAGCAGCAGCATGAATTTCCCTGAGCAATATAACACATGTAAGGAATTCAAGAAGCAATGGGTAATAATTAATATAGTTGATGAATAATAGCAGTGGAGTAAACAGAGGCAATAATGAGCAATTTACATTTCTGCTTCATGGAAATGCGTTATAATGCGCACACTGCCCTGTGGTGGGTTGTGGTGTCATTCATTTTGAACGTCACCTAAACAAAATGTTGCAGTAGTGGAGAATACCCTTGACAACAGTGTGTTGTGTTAAAAAGGGGTCAGGTACAATTTTTGGGGCTGTTGCAATGTGTTGGCACTCCACTCATAATGAACAGGCTATGTTAAAGTGTGTCAACCCAAACACATTTGTTTCCAGTTTTAGATAGCGTAGGGAAGGATTAGAACTGCTGTTTTTACTGCTATCTGGTGCGCTGTTAAATATATTTTCCTTAAAGGGACACTAAACTAAAAATGTAGCTTGTTTTTCCATCACTCGGCTGTAGATCCTCAAATCATCTCTAAATTGGTGCTGACACTGTCCTTCCTTCTGGAGGGGGCTACTTTTGTTCCACATGGTCCCTGCGTGTGTTGTAAAGTAGCCACCGCTCCAAGCTCACTCCTGTGACGGATTACAATCTCACGGTTAGTTTACTATTTTATATTGAGACTGTAGTCCATCACAGGAGTGAGCTTGAAGTGGTGGCTACTTTACAACACACACAGGGACTATGTAGCCACCCTCCAGAAGGAAGGACAGTGTCAGTATGAATTCAGAGATGATTTGAGGATCTACAGCCGAGTGATACACAAATAAGATACATTTTTGTTAATAGTTAAGATACCTGAAAAAAATTTTAGGTTTATCTCGAGTTCAGTGTTACTTTAACTTCCTGTCCTGCTGACAACAGTTTTACCAGATGGGATGTGAGGAAAAATCTGCAAAGGGACATAGACAGAAATAAAAATCAGCCAGGGATTCTAGCCTTCCCCTACTTTACTTAAGAAACGCATTTTTATTTATGTTGCTGTTGGAGAGTTTCCTTCAGTTTCTGTCAGGTAAAATATTGACAGCAAAACAGGAAAAGAAAGTAAATCTCTCTAAAGGAGCTCCAGATAGCAGCAGGGGTTCTACTCCTTCCACATTCTATCCAAAACATAACACTAGTTAACACATGTTCACTAACGCACTGCAACACCCCAGATGAATGTGAATAGGTCCTGAGGGGCATTGCTGGTTACATTTTAATGATGATGAGCCGAAATTCATATTCAGTTTGTGTTTATGAAGTCGGTACATCCATAGTTACATAGTATTTGAGGTTGAATAAAGACATAAGTCCATCAAGTCCAACCTATTGTGTGTGTGTGTGTGTGTGTGTGTGTGTGTGTGTGTATAGTTCCATGAGTGTTCTCATTCTTAAAAGTACAAGTATGGTCTTGTCTACTTACAATGAGGTAAAACACCAACCACTATGTACAAAGTGGAAGATTTCTTATACTCTGTGCGGGGAGTGGGGTGGCACAGTTATATTTTAATAATGTTAATACATTAAAAAAGAAAACACATTTCTAAACATTAAAAACGACACCATCATGAGGTAATTAGTACAATTCTAGGGTACACTTTTAAAAAACAAGAGCATACATGTCAAATAAATTAACTTACAGTGGACATGGAGACTAGTCTGTTCTTTCCATTCCAAACCAGTTTCCAAATCAAGTGATTTACAAGTATAGACCCCAGTATCTTCACGTGAAACCTGCCAAGAATATGGTTCATCTTCTGACAAAAAGCTATCATCACCTTCCTGGGAACACATAGGAGGGCTTAGACAGTCAGAGGTATCCAAAATATGTATGTACAAAGCAATTAAAGGTTTTTTTTTGTTTTCTTTTCCAGCATGCTTAACCACTTCAAGACCAGGTGTTTAGACCCCCTTCCTGGCCAGGCCATTTTTCAGTATTCAGCGCTGCGGTACTTTGACTGACATTTATTCCGTCATGCAACGCTGTACTGAAATAAATTTTACACCATTTTTTGGGGACAGATAGAGCTTTATTTTGGTGGTATTGAAAACGGGCGCCCGGGGGCGTGTCTGAGCGGACGTCTACAGACGCCCGCTCAGATCTAGAGAGCTCCTGGCCGGCCGTTTTTTTACTACGGCCGGCCCGGAGGTAGTTAATAAATGTTTTGTGTACAGAAAAATTGTATAACATGAAAGTACAGTAGAAAATATTGCTGTTACTCGTAATTATTCTAATAATCTGACGTATCACTGTATACCTAAATGCAGTACCATTACTAAGGATATGATAATCACCTTTAATTTGCTTGTGGTTCTGGTCTTCAAATGTTGACAACAATTTACAACCATTGGCAAATAAATGCATATATTCACAAAATGTCAAAGCCATTTTGAGCAGTGTGAAGAAACAAAAGAAAGAACATAGAAAGGATCATCGTTCCACCTCCATATTTAAAGCTGATCTACAGTCTGCCTATAAATGGTCAACTGGGAGGACATGTTGCCCCTGGGCCGCTGCTTCTACTATTTATTTGGGCCAGTTGGCAGCAGTCCAGAGTAGAGATACTCTGCCATTTTCAGGGTAAAGGCAGCTGTCTAGCTGTCTCCCATTAAGAGATGTTTAACCTCCCCAAAATGGAGCTTCAACAAAGCTGCTCAAAGCTTACCATAGGCTTTGCAAATGCTTTAGCACACTGCTCTCATGCAAGCTGAAACCCACATGAACAAGGCTTGAGCATCTCGCTGGTGAACAAGGCTTGAGGACATGTGCAAGCTCCGCTCTTACAGTATTAAAGCTTGTTCATTTCTGTTTGGACAGGCCATTAGTCTATGGTCAGATCTGGAGCATGCACTATGGTTACTAGGATGTGAAGATGCTGCACTGCCCTGCCCTGCATAAGCCAGAGAGTAGAAACCCCAAGAATACCTACATACCTCCTAAATTTCTGAGATGGGAAAAAGGGACGCTTGATAGCACAAAAAATTGTTGGTTAAGGACCTACCACTGCCACACCTCCAATTATGCAGACTGATATTTTGCTTTTTGGTACATGCTGAAAAGTTAATCTACTACACGATTTCTTGTGAAATCTGTTGATAAGATATCTGCACTTGAGTTCCCAGGTCTGCACAACTTCAATGGACATTATGATTGGTTCTCATCCACTCTGATGGATTTTTATTTTATATTAAAGACAATGCAACAAGCAGTGCTGGAACACACAACGGGTAAGCAGGAAAACTTGCAGTGACCAAAATAGAATAAGGACTTGTGGCAAGGAGATTTTGTAGTTGGAGTATGCGCAAACTGCTTCTGACTCTCTGGTACCAACTAAAACAAAATACCAGTTTTGCTTGGGCTGAACCTTTAAGAGGTTTACTGCACTAGTAGACCGAGCACCCTTTTGCACTTTTTTGTGTGCTGTGATGTTTTGTTCACAGGGGTTTTGTAACAATGCATGCACTACGGAGCCTCAAAAAAAAAGGTAGTACGACATCAACTGTGATACTTGGTAAAAACGACTAAACTCTACAAAGATACTTGAGCTTGACCATGCAGTTTGCTAAAATAATTTTAATACATTACTGACCATTTTCTCTAAGTTGCACTCTATAACTAGCACTTGCATGTGTTTTGGTTGTTGCATTTGTCAGTCCTTACCTTGTGCAGTGTATATGTGGGTTGTGGATTTCCATCACCCTCGCAGGATAGTTCCACGGTATCTCCCTCCTTTATCATGTCAGATTGGCCTTTGAAATATACTTTTATTGAGGTAGTAGGGTCTGTAGAGAAGGAAACCAATGTCAGATGTCAGAGTCAAATAACAAAGTGCATAACACAACACTTATTTGTAAATTACAAGAAATACATGGGCAATGTGGCACATCTCAACATAAGATGGAGATGATGAAATGAGGCTGTCATCCTGTTTCATAGCCCTCACTCTTATATTAATAATATAAGATAAAATAATATTAAAATGCCTGTTTAACATCCCCAGTCCCCAAATAAGCAAAACGAAACCACAAATGGGAGGAGAAGGCTTGTCACACGGGTGGACCTTATCACCTGCGGTGTGAGGTAGTACATTAAAAGCCATCGCCAGCATGGCAAAAAGGTACTTGACTGCATATACTGTAGGGGGAATTTATCATAGCAATTGCGAGTGTTTGAACTTGCACGGAATATATTTGCACCAGATTTATGTTGCTAGTGTAATGCTGTTGATAAATGAGGTTAAATAGACTCCAGGAAAGAAGACTCGTAACTCCAGGCAAAAAGCTGTCGCATCTTGAAGAAGTGGTCATGGGGACTTCTTAAGTTGTGAGTGTTTTCTTAGGTGATGCTCCAGTTTCAGACAGCCCAGAACAAGTGCAGATGAAAAGAGGTGCATAAAACATGCAACTGAAAAAGATAGGGCAAGCTCTGAAGAAAACAGGTGCAAAACACGTGCAGTGGGAAAAGTAGTGTAAGCTCAGGTCAAAACAGGGGCACATGTTGAAAGACAGATTTGCACATTAAAAAAAATGATCTAAGAGGCTAAAACTGTCGCAATTGCTTTGATAAATTCCCTCCTGTATATGGACTCATTCCTAGAACTCATAGATATCTATAGATATTAGGTGCGGACAGATGCAGACAAATGTGCTTGGACTGGCAGACAGATCAATCTCTAGGGAAAAATGGAAGGAAAAGAGGGGTGCCATCTCCTTTTTGAAAACATGTCCAAGTCCCTCCATCGCCGGCTCCATTCCAACTACGAAATCCCACAGCTAGTTTATTAGAGACCGGATCTGCAGCATACTCGGTCGCATTTCTGTTGCCACACAAAGATCCACACTTGTGAGCGCAATTGTTTTAATTTGTTATTTCTTAGTAAATGGAACTATTACAATATGCCGGTGCGCTATTCTATACTTTTGTTATTTAGTAACTTATCAGGATGTTACTATGAAAAAGGCCATCCTGCTCTGCAAATACTGTATCATGGAAGCACCCTGTATTAAACTGTCAAATAAAAATATATAACAAAGAACACTTACTTTTAAACAAATACAAATAAAATTAACAAACCTCATTATAGTGTCCCTGCATGGGAATAATGGGATCTGAAAAGCTTTACAAGCCCTTGAAATGGATGCATGCACCATACACATTAGATCAGCCCTCTGTTCTGTACAGCTTCTCATTGTCAGGGGTAAATAATTAATGCAGCTCAAAAAGAACCGTGCAGTGTTTCTTTTCTGCTTACTCGTTTCCCATTCTTGCTTATAGCAATTATATGCTGGGTCTATGTGTGGTATATGAACATGAAACTTTTATGATACATATAGGTTTCATTTAATTGCATTGTTGTGAGAATTGTTTTATCTTGAAATGAATTAAGCTTGCTGAAGCACTATGTATCGTAAACAACTGGCATTTTTTAAACAAAATCGTATTAGCACCTTTTGGGTTTTTTAATACTTTGTGCCATATTAGTGCTGTGGCCTCTTTGCACCAATTTCATGTCTACATACTGTACATGCACTCCAGTAATGGCATTTTGCAGTGTGGGCTTCCTGGTGGAGACAACAGTGGGCCATACCTGCATAATATTTGTTAAAATGGGGACTTGCAGTCTCCACCAGAAGCCAGTGTGACAACCCAATAGCACAACAATGAAACATTGTCACCTCATAACAGCAAGTGCCGTAACAAGGGCAGACTTTCATAACAGGATCCTCAGGTATTTTATTAAAGAAGAAGATTGAAAAATATTGAAAATGACTTTTGAAATGATGATGTTAAAGCTTATATGAAGATTAAGTGATTAGGTTTCCATATACTTTAATGCTCAACTCCAGTCAAAAAGTATTTTTTCCAACCTCTCCCTCTCACGCACTTCTAACTAATCCTGCTAGACTTTTGTTTCCCCTTACCTTCTGAAGTCAGATGTACTCACTTATGTTTCCTCTCTAGGTCCCTCAGACGCAGTGCCTCACCATTTCTCGGAATCCAAACTGCGAATCCAGCGGTGCGGTGCGCTGATCTCAGCCCTCATCTGGATCCTGAGAGGACCCTAACCAATGAGCATCCCACAGGTCAAAAAAGGACCCAAGAAGAAAATAAACAGAAGAGGAGATGACTTGGGGCTGGGGCTTTTAGATCGGGATTTTTTTTTAATCCAGTGATTAGATAATGCTGTGTGGGAGGGAAGGGTGACATGCAGGGCCGTAAGTACCATGAGGCAAGTGAGGCACTCACCTCAGGCACAGCTGAGAGGTGCCGGCAGCCAGGGCCAGCCTGGCTGCTCCCCCTCACCCCTGTTGCCATAGCAACAGGCCACTGACACAGCCGCAGCTCAGCAGGGAGAAGAGGGGCGGCACAGGCTCCAGCTTCTCCTCGGATGCCCACTGCTCTCGCCCACCTGTATGGGCAGAGGCAGTGTGGATCCGATGAGAAATAGAGCTCTGAAGCTGGGGGAGGGAGCAATCATCCAGGATGGCCGAGCAGTGAGGAGAGAGAGAGCCGCTCGGCCAGGATCTGTCAGCCAGCAGCTCTCTCTCTTCTCACCGCTCGAGTGCTCCCTCCTCCACCCCCATGCCCCCCTCCCCCCCCCCGCGCCGGCTTCAGAGCTCAGGATGGTAGAACGGAGGATTGGTAAATATCAGTGATATATACCGATCTTCTTTGTGCAGAGCAAACACTGGAGTGATCAGTTATGAATGAACAGGAAGTGCTTTGCATCACTTTCTGTTCATTCATGAGTTTCTCACTGGGTGGAAGCACTCACTATAGGCTTCTACCCATTGATAACTGGATGATAGCAAATATTTTACTACCTCCAGTTTCTGAAAAAATGGGAAGCTTCTATACTGAGTGCTCTCCATTAATTTAGAACAGAGTCTGCAGAAAAAGAGTGAGTTGTGTTTAGGTCCCTGATATGTCCTTGAAGCCCCCCCAACAGTCAAAAATAAATAAAACACACACACACACACACACACACACTCTCTCTCTCCTCTCTCCTCTCTCCCTCTCTCTCTCTCTCTCTCTCATAATGTCTGTTATGGCAAATCACGCTCATTACAGCTTAGTAAATTGAGTGTTCTAATAATAAAATATACTCACAGTGCACTGTGATATTTTTTCTCTCAGACTCCAGCATATGGTCCCCCATTGGCAGGCTGTATGAGACATCGCAGTAAAAGAAAGCACTGGCATCAGACTTCTGCACAGGGGCCAATAAGATACTCTTCACTGTAAATAACCCCGTGGATTCTGTTGTGGAATGAGTTTTGATATCAACAGCTATGAACAGAGAAAAACAGAAGATTATTCTATAAAATAGGAATATGATACAAGTCACACTTTATTTTCAAAGGAACGGAAAACTACAGGTGCAGAATAAATATGTATAGTGAATAGTTCCTGGCATGTTTTTGTTTTACAGGTGCTGCGTTTAGTTTGAAATCAATATTATATATGGTTGTAGTTTTCTAGTTTTTGCTCATGAGTACAGTTTTCCTTTACAAGTGACCAGACTGGAACATTAAAGTGTTTACATTTTATTAACAAGCAGTGAAAAAGCATAATAAAAAAATAGCTGTATAGCTGTAGTGTGAGATCTAAGGCACTGCTGCCTCTGACTGCTAATCTTAGGAGATTTGGAGTGAGATTGCAATGTCACTGCCTTATTGCTCACTGTTCTCTTTGCTTGAGGCTCAGACGTGAGAAGCAAAAGCCCTGCCTTTAGTAAGATGGCCACCTTCACTAAGCGACATGCAAGGCATGGTAAACAAGTAATGTAGAAATATCAGATCCAGGGAGATCCTAAACAATGAGGTGACTAGTCCTTTGCTCTCTACCTGCCTTAAAATGGGCGCAGCTTCCAGAGTTCAGTTTCTTATTAAAACAAGCCATCGCTGAACTCTATACATGTATGTACCGTAACAGCTTACATTCCCTGGGGTGGCAGTGGAGCAGAATGCACCCCACCACCCAACACTGCTTCCTGCACCTCTTATACACCGTTTGCCCTCAAGGTGCTGCCCCCCCCCC